AGAATCTTCTCAGAGAAAAGAACAACCTTATTCAGGTCAAATTTTTCTCGGCTCCTGAATATGCCAAGCAGTACTACATCAAAACGCTAATGAGCAAATACATAACCCCACCAGGTAAATTTTTTTTCTAAATTTTTTCTTAACTTATAATTGCTCATGTCATTTTTAGTTTGTACGCCCAAACAACAAAGTGGAGAGTGCCATGTAATTTTTAGATTTTTGTGTCCTCAGACTCACTCTTCNCCTTTAGGGTCCAGCCTTTCCAACGCAAGGAATTTGGCAGCCGATCACTCTTGAGGCTTTCAATGAGATTACACTACGAAGTATTACAGTGGACACGCAACAAGATCACACTGGACAGTGGCTGCTCAACTGTACCGTGTTCTTGGAAAGTGCTGCCTCTAGTAGATCCAATGGCAACTTGAGCTTCTACTTGAACAACACTTTCCTAATGAAACACGAGTTTAAAGCTCAATTTGATGGCAAGGGCGAAGCATCCATAAGCGCCTTTATGCTAGTGCCCAGCAAATTTCAGATAAAGCCCTGGTTCCCAAATGGCGTTGGCTTGCAGTATCTCTACTCACTGACTGCCAAAGTTGTAGGTGCTGCCGGAGAATCCACCTCCAAGACGATTCGCATTGGCTTTCGAACGGTGAAACTAATCCAAAAAAGACTACCGTCAACCGAAGAGGCGTACTCCTTCTACTTTGAAGTGAACAACTTGCCCATCTTTTCCAAAGGTTCCAACTGGATTCCCGCTCATGTGCTGCACGAGTCGTACTCTGAAGAGTACATTCGAGATTTGCTGATCTCCGCCAAGTTGGCCAACATGAACATGCTGCGCGTTTGGGGCGGTGGCATCTACGAGGATGACCGGTTCNTTTCTACTTTGAAGTGAACAACTTGCCCATCTTTTCCAAAGGTTCCAACTGGATTCCCGCCCATGTGCTGCACGAGTCGTACTCTGAAGAGTACATTCGAGATTTGCTGATCTCCGCCAAGTTGGCCAACATGAACATGCTGCGCGTTTGGGGCGGTGGCATCTACGAGGATGACCGGTTCTACGAGATTGCCGATGAGTATGGCATTCTCATCTGGCAGGATATGATGTTTGCCTGTGCACTCTATCCCACTGATCCGCAGTTCTTGTCCTCCGTTCAAGTAGAGATTCGCCAGCAAGTTCGCCGCCTACAGCACCACCCGTCAATTGCCCTCTGGGCTGGCAATAATGAAAACGAGGCCGCCATCACTGGACTTTGGTGGCCTGAACTGGCACTTCACATGGTAAGCTTGCAGGGAATGCTTTTTTACTTGTTGAAAGTAAATGATTCACTGCACAGGACCAGTACAGGCAGGACTACCGAACGCTGTACATCAACACAATAATGCCCATTGTCGTGGCTGAAGACACTTCTCGACCGTTCTTGCCGTCCAGTCCATCAAATGGCATCGTTTCTGCCCGAGATGGCTACATCTCCGCCGATCCTCAGAGCACTCGCTACGGTGATGTGCACTTTTACTGGACGTGGGGAAACGTCTGGAAGTGGAACATCTACCCAAGTGCAAAATTTGTCTCCGAGTACGGCTTTCAGTCGTGGTCTTCACTTGCGACACTTGGCAAATACATTTCAACGTCGCATATAAAATATCCACTCGACGAGGCCTTTGAGCATCGAGAGCACCAGGAAAATGGACTGATCTATTTGAATGGAATGATCAAGGAGAACCTTCCGTTCCCCTCCAACGGAAGTGCAGCTAAGCTGGCGGACTACATCTACATTTCTCAGATTCACCAGTCAATGTCCATTAAAATTGAAACCGAGTTCTACCGACGCAATCGCCAAGTGCAGCCCAATGGGGAGGGCTTCACTATGGGCGCACTTTACTGGCAACTGAACGACATATGGCCGACGGTATCATGGGCTTCAGTGGAGTTTGGCGGCAAGTGGAAAATGCTGCACTACTACGTGCGAAACATGTTCGATAATCTGCTGATTGATGCCTACGAGAACGAAGAGAATGGCGGCCAGATCAGTGTGGTGCTCATTCGTGATGACCACATTCAGCAGTCGATTCCCTTCCGAGTGACCGTGGAGGTGTTCAAGTGGTCCGGCAGTAGGCCTGCTCTCCAGCACCAGGTGGACAGCTCCACGAGGCCGTTCAGTGTGACGATGGCGTTCCAGCAGAGCACTGATCAGCTGTTGCGTGCTGCCCAGTGCTCCAATCGCAATGAGTGCTTCATCCAGGTGCGCGCTACAGGCATCTTCAATGGTCGCCCGATTGAAAGGGCAAACTTTCTTCTGCTCGGTGCAATCAAAAACGCCACCGGTCTTCTCAAAGCTCAAATACACGCCAGCGTCATCGCCGGCCCGGAGAGTGATTCCTTCGGAGTGAACACCTTCTTGCTGCACCTAAGCACTGACCATGTGGCGCCCTTCGTGTACCTCGACTCGTCAATCACCGGCATCTTTTCTGACAACGGCTTCCTCCTCACTGGACCGAGAAATGTCACCTTCCGAACTGTGGAATCAGTAGACAAAACCAAAGTAATCACACAGCTGACTGTTAAATCTTTAAAAGACGTTGAGTGATAAAGGCAGTTAAGTAAAATGAAGTTACATTCAAAGGTTATCAAAGGGTTAATTGCAGTAAGTAATAAGTAACATACAGTGGAATTTAAGAAAAATAAAATGGCAACAATGTTTTTAAGTAAAAATCGGCACAGGTGATTTACCAGTTTTACGTTTGTAATGCACACAGAAAACTAGATCGAGTTATAAAGGACTAGGCTCAGAAGGCGGAGGATCGCTTTCTTCATATTCTTTGCTTTCAAACAGGTCCAACAGGACAGGCGGCGTGTAGGAGCATATGCAAAAATTAAGTTTTGCTCTTTTTCTGAGACGTGTTGTGACCTGTAATTGTAAAAGGGTTAGACATGAAGGATTCTAATAAATAAAATGCCAAGAATATTTACCCCGTAAGTGAGATAATTCAAGTTTTTGAACCAGTGATAAAAGCAGTGCGATGCAAATATCAGAAGTGAAACCAGGAGAACAATGAGAGAGTAGATGGTTACGTGAGAATAGGACGTTTTGGTTAGAAAAAAGGTGANGAATGGCAAAATGAGTTAGAAATGAGGAATTCTAATAAATAAAATGCCAAGAATATTTACCCCGTAAGTGAGATAATTCAAGTTTTTGAACCAGTGATAAAAGCAGTGCGATGCAAATATCAGAAGTGAAACCAGGAGAACAATGAGAGAGTAGATGGTTACGTGAGAATAGGACGTTTTGGTTAGAAAAAAGGTGAACAGTTGAAAAAGCATTAAGATGAGGCTGATGTGCACGTAGAGGATGGCAGTTGAGTGAATCCGCCCGTTGATCTTAGTGGGCGTGTAGGCGTTAGAAATGTTGAAACGATCCACAAAGTGCTTGCAAATCATGTACAGCAGCCCACACGGCGCAATGAGTGGACAGGCGTGACTGTAGGTGACGGTGATGGTAAAAATGAGAAGAAACCGAGGATAGCTGACGCCAAATGGAAACTCAAAAGTGACCATCTTTCTGGCCTTTTCAAACTCAGCCGAAGATCTTAGAAATAGGCTGTTCCAGATGTACAAAGACAACTCAGGAATTCGCAACAGCTCGACGGAGTTACCAAGGATGGCCGCTTGACTAACGTATATGACAAAAAAGGCACCTAAAGTTAAGAGAAAACAAGTTGAGGTTGATCACATATAAAAGCATTTGTTCTACCAACCATTGTCGACGGGAAATAGACAGTTCCAACGAAACTTTCGGTTTGCACTATTTGGGCTCAGGATATCATCCAGCATGGCGTTGATGCTGCAAGAAAAAAGCACAATTATAGCTCAAATACAAAGTGCATGCTGATTCTTTATACCTGAAAAATCCGGCCGAAGGCAGAATGAGAATCATCATGAGCAGGAAAGCAAAAACTTTTGCCATCACTGCGTGGTTCAACGCTGAAATGGTCTTGTAGGGAATCATTTGACAGGCATAGGTGACGATGGACGGCAGAATGGTGGCGCACATCATCAACATGAAGGGGCTAATAAAGTCGGTGAGCGTGGAGCCAAAACGACCAATTCCCCGATCAATTTTCTCCTTGCTGGCCACAAACTCCAAATACTTTAGCAGTATTGAAGGCGTTGATAGGAAAAAGAAAATCATAAACAGCAGCATTGAAAGGCACAGTTTGCGTAAGCTGACAAGCTTTGTGTCGATTCCAATGTTGAGCCAGTTGATGTCATACGGATAAGGCGCATAGGTGACCACGGCGCCTGATCGTACCAAATCAAAAGAGTCACTGCTGGTGAAGGGCGTCAAACCACAGCAAGTGAATGTGTTTCGCTGCTTCTCCTTGAAGTGCTTGTAAACTCTGAAAATAAATAAATTTAAATTATAACACTTCTAAACTGCGTATCACGGAAACTGTAAACTTACTCGGCTGTCATCTTCTCGCGCTCAAAGCTGACGAACGCCGCTCCTGGCATCTGTTCTGCCATTTCGCGCACTTCTTTGGAGATCTTTTTATTCAAGTTAGCACGAGATTCGCTGTAAAACTCGACAGCATCTTTTGTCTTGCAAATGCAGAAGCAACAGCAGCCCAAACGGCCAAAAGTATAAGGACGTAGAGTGACTCGCTTTCCATTGCTCTGACTGTTTAACTGCTCGCAATACCTCTTTGCGTTCATATCATTGACATAATTCTGCTCATGTAATTCCAGTTGATGGTAATTGAAAATCTGCTGAATGCCAGTAATAGTGACTTGAGGAAATTGCTGCTGTAAGTACTCCTGCAAAACTAACTTGGAATCTTCATTTTCTTTGACAGGAGGCAGCTGACGAATGAGCAACGTGGTACGGGACATCAAATCATCGTCTGTTTTGAGGACTTTTGAGAAATAGTGCATAAAGTAGACACCCATAATAACGGTGATGGTGGCAGAAATGGCGTGCACCCAAAACAGTGCCGAGTCGGGAGGAATATGACTTAGTGTCGTTCGAGCAAAGGCTTTTCCTTCTACAAACGAAAGTAAATCCATTAGTGAAAAAGAATATTAATGAAAGAGAAAGCAGTGTACCGTTGTCTCCTTGAATGTTGATGGGCAACAGAATGACAATGCAAACAAAGGTAATTAAACTTAACAACACTATGATATACTGCTGAAATAGTAAGTACTGATAGGCATCGGGTCCCTTCTTTTCGTAAATTTCAGTCAACCTAAACAAACTGGAAAGCCAGCTGTTCATTCGGTAAATCGAATCAGATCGCTAAAAATTGACGAAATATATTAAGTTAATGAAGAAATACTTGTAGTATTAAAGCTTACGAAAAACTGAAAACGAATTGAAGCTGAATTAAAATCAGCATTAGCTGGAAACGTCGTTTCGCTCTGAACCAAGTTGTCTGATGAGCCGCGATTGGGTTGAATGACAATGGCATCTTCTTTAGGCAACTGACTTGATGATTCTTCGGTAAAATTCACAAACTTTGGACTAGAATCAGAAGATGTTGATGGAGATATGGCGTTGTTTTTGTTGACTTTGCATTTAGTAATATGAAATGGCATTAGCTTCACCAAGTTATTTTTCAAGTTTTCATCACGGGTTATGGTGAGCTGTTTCCGATTTTCAGTCAAATTTACCAAGTTGACTCGGTCTCCATAAATGAACTGCAGCCATCTGTGTTGATGAAAATAAAACCCCTTGTCAGTGTTGCTAAAAAATATTTTAAAAACGCTTACGTATTTTTAGTAGAATCTTGTCTAGAGCTTGCAAAGCGAATGCAAAGGAAAAAACTTATAAGGATCTGTTGAAATAAAATAATTTTCAATGTCATGTAAAATAGAAATGCCTCCTTTGGATATGGCTTACAAAACAGAAGACCAAGTTGATGACTAGCGTTTCAGGAATTCCTTCCCAACCACGATCGATTTCAATCAGTGTTTGATTTTTTGACAAGATGACATTACAGGTCCGATTGAAATCATTATCTAATTTAAAGTTTAACAACTCATTGAAAAAATCCGGATAAAGAGCGTTTTGAAATGCCATCTTACTATCTCCCATGTTGAATGAGCAAAGTAATTAGTGTAAAACATGTAAGGCTTGAATAGCGAATAGCGGACTTTAACAAAAAAGCGCAGTTGGCTTGGAGTTGTTGTTGTTGTTTAGGCGCGCCGGCGAAGGGTACTAAGACATTGACAGAATTTCTTTGGCTGGAGGCAATCACCCAAGGTGGAGAGAGAGGTTCCAGAAGTCAATTAGTGAAATGACTTGCGCCGATCAAACAACAGTTCGGGTAGCCGAGCTCATGATGACGTCGGTGAATCGTTGGGCGATCGATGAGCCACTTTTACTGGTCAGGGTGGTCGGAAAGGTGCCGCAAATGCAGCCGTTTTCGGGTGGTACAAACGACGGCCAGACACAAAGGTGGCAGAGATATGCAAATCGCAGGACTGGCACGCCAACAATCAAAACAACACTGTAGTAACAACACTGTTAGTCACACTGACAGTCTGTGTGGCGCTGATTGCAGCAAGTCACTGTACTGCGGGAAAGTGCAGTAATCAGTTCTTCACAGGGAAACTACTCTTTGCTGAGGCGTGAACAAAATGTGATAGACAAAATGTTCAAGTTTTTATTAGGGCTTAAAAAGTCTTAGCAAGTGGAGATCACTTTGTGTCTATTTACAGCTGCTACCAAGGCAATACGAGGTAGAGATTTACACTTGAGCCCAAGAGATTAGCTTTGCGATTGGATTTGTATCTGGAATTTAACCATTGGAGGCGTTGAAACTTCAGCCGTGACGACGGCGTTGACGCCCAGATTGGAGAGGGCTCCACGAATGAGACCGCAGGAGAAAGCGAGATACTAAAGATAAATGAATAAATAGTTTAGAGCTATAAAAATGTTTCATTGTCTACTTACCTTGGCAACTGAATTAAGGCCTTGTTGCGAATCGGATATTTTAAGTATAAAACGAAATTGATTGTCCAACAGTACGTAGATTCCCTGGTGATTTGTTCGCAATGTGTCTGCTTGCTTGCCAAAAATTGCAGACCAAAACTCTTTACAAACAAACTTGATGATGTCTAGTTCGTCCTTGAAGCGATTCCACTCACGGGTGTACCTTTAGAGCAGAAAATTGTAATTAGAGAATTTCACACCTCCAGAAAAACATACTTTTCAATATAACGAAACCCAACTTGAAATCCTACATTTTCTTGCCGACTGACATCAGTGCTCTGTTAGGCAAAAAACATTAGAAAACATCCCAAGATTCTTACAAACTTACATTTTCTCCATTCAGCTTACTCATCAGCGAGACAAACTCCATATGAAGGAAATCAAGTAAAATATCATCACCCATGACCAAAGAAGATAACTACTTGTACCAGCAGAAATAATAGACCACTTGAAATTGTTGAACTTAATTAATTGAGGTTGGCTCGAGAGCTGGGCGACAACAAGTTTGGAAGTGAACTAGACAGTAAACAGCTGATTTCCGACTATTACGTCTGCATTGGCTGAGAAGCTGCACATATGGTTGCTGCTGAAACCTGATAAGTTGTTTTGATTTGCCGAATCTATTTATCCGGCAAAATGTCGTCTAATTACCGAATTTTAGCTTACTTCTTATCAACATTGAATGAATCTCTGCGCATTAGTCTGGGGCTCCGGAATACACGAAACTTTTACAATCGCTTGGGCTATTCGGCAAGGCAAAACAAAAACGCGCAATCAACAAGAAGATTTAACGGTGAAGAATTGAATCAAAGTCGGCGAAAGGTGTCAGGCAACGCAAAGCCTAATGTGAGTAGTTTGGGCTGGAAGAGACTTGCTTATTTACATTGTTTGAAACTGTTTCAGGTCAATGCCGCTTCAATTTATGACAACTTTTCAATAGTTGCCGAAGGGATTAAGCAATACGCCAACTACACCGCAAGTCATGCTGTGAAAAGGAGCGGACAGCTTACCGAGTACACTGCCTATCGCGATCCGTTTCCGATAGCAGAAGCAGACGTCAAAGAGAAAATATACTCAACTACTATTCCCCCCGTTTCAAAAAGAGATTCAGGGAAAAGTTCTCAATCAGAATTCAAATCCCCAATCACTTTAGAGCACCAGCAACCGGCGAAAGACGCAAGTGCGGAACCGGTCAACAAAGAACGCAAGAGAAGCGATCGCCGTGTGATAATCAACAGTAGCAACAACAAGAATAGCATATACAATCAGAATAGTAGTGTCATAGAGAATGCAAAAGAAAGCAAAATTCCTTCGAACCGAACAGCTCGAGTGCTTTCCTTTGGCGGGCTCGCAGTAAGTCTGGGAGTTGGTGCGCTCGAAGAGTTTACCAAGAGAGTCGTTGGCGCTTCTACTTCCAAAAAAGACGACTCCATTCTCGGCTCAAGTCTCTTTCTGTCAGAGGCAAATGCTCACAAAATTGTGGACACTCTGTGCCGAGTGCGAGGAGCCGCACTAAAGCTGGGGCAGATGTTGAGCATTCAGGACAGCGAGGTGGTCGGCCCGGAAATACAGGCCATCTTTGAGCGAGTCCGCCAGTCTGCCGACTACATGCCAGTCTCGCAGATGCGCCAGGTAATGGACCAGGAGTTGGGCGACCAGTGGAAGAGCCTCTTCAAAAGCTTTGACGAGAAGCCCTTTGCCGCCGCCAGCATCGGACAGGTTCACCGTGCCCAGCTGCCCAGCGGTGAGGAGGTGGCCGTGAAGATTCAGTACCCTGGCGTCGCCGAGAGCATTGAGAGTGACATCAAGAACGTGCTGATGATTCTCAAGTACGCCAATATCTTCCCCGAGGGCCTCTTTATCGACCACATAATGGCGTACGCGAAGAAGGAGCTCAGCTGGGAGGTAGACTACGTTCGGGAGGCGGCCTGTGCCACAAAGTACCGCAGTCTGATTGAGAAGTACGCCGATCCGAAGGATCACTTTCACGTTCCAGTGGTGTACGAACAGCTGTCCTCCAAACGAGTGATCACCTCTGAGCTGATCAGAGGCATCAGCATCGACAAGCTGGACGACTACCTGGAGACGTCGAGCCAGGAGGTGAAAAACTCCATTCTACAGCGACTCTTAAAGCTCTTCTTCCAAGAGCTCTTTGTCTTCAACTACATGCAAACGGACCCAAATTGGTCAAACTTCTTCTACGACTACGACACTGACACCATTTCGCTGATTGACTTTGGCTCCAGTCGGCCGTACTCGTCGGACTTTGTCAGGCAGTACTTTGACATTATTCAGGCTGCCATTGAGAGTGACCGTGAGAAGGTGCTCAGCAAGTCGCAGGATATTGGGTTTCTCAGTGGCTTCGAGGCAGAGGCTTTCAAGGTGGCTCACGTCGACTCGGTGATGATCATCGGCGAGTCGATTCGCCATCCTGGCAAGTTCAACTTTGGCCGACAGTCAGTGACCAAGCAGATACACAACCTTGTGCCGGTGATGCTGAGACACCGACTGAAGCCACCACCGGAAGAGATCTATTCGCTCCACCGAAAGTTGTCCGGTCTCTTCTTGCTCTTCACCAAACTAAAGGCGGAAATTGACTGTCGCAGTGCCTTTGAGGAGACAACCCGCGGATATGACAAGTAAAAGAGCGAATGGTATTAATTAGAGGGGAAATGGTGTTTGTTCTTTAATTAAAAACATTTTAAAAATCACACTGCACAGATCTACTACTGAACTAGGATATGTTGCTGAGAAAATGCACAACGGCGTACTCGCCCGTCTCCATCCACGTCTTTGGGAGTGATTGCACTAGAGCCAGTGTGGCCTCGTCCTTAATGCCCACCACGACGTCCGCCTTGATAGTTCGAAGTGAGCAGACTGCCGTCGTTGGTTGAAATTGACGGAGTGAGTCCTTGAACGAAGTGGTGAACGGCCAGTTCAGGTCGCCGACCAGCTTTCGGTAGTTGAGATCGCCTTTGAAGAGGACGAAGTCTGACTTGCACAAGTGGCCATACATGTCTGCGGCCACAGTGGGCATTTGATCGTAACTGTGCGGCAGAGTCCAGAAGTCATGTTCCTTAATTATCCAAGCGCCACTTGCTAAATTTTGTTTAAAGCTCTTACTAATCGTCTTCAGAGCGTTGGAAAATGTGTCCTCCTTTTCCATTGTATCCAAAAGCCAGTGAAAATCTTTAGTCATGGTATCAGACACAAACCAGGGCATCTTCTTGACGTGAAAGTAAACGGAGCATCGTTCTTTAGGAAAGAGATTTGATAAATGGAAAAACTCAACAAGGCAAAGGTCAGTGAAGAGCTCGTAGCTTGAATTATCAAGGACAATATCAATTTGAAATTTTTGCTTTGAAGCAGACAAGTTTTTGGCGTACGCAAAAAGAGGGTTAAAGTCATTGACGATGATCTTGCTTTCAAGACTTTTGAAGTCACTACTACTAACTGAGTTATTTTGCTCTCCAAGAGAAATTGACAAATCGCACTGGTTTCCACAGAGTGAAGTCTGAAAATGATAGCGTTTTTAGAAAAGCAAAAAAGCAAATGAAACGAGTAAAGTTTTACCATGACGTAGAAATAAAACAAATCCTTGAGCGATTGCTGTGCCAACAGATCGGTAATTTTCAGCAAGTGTGTGGCAAGATTAGAAGCAAAGTGGTGAGCGTTGAAAAATGCCTCTTCTTTGATCAGATAAAATTGGTCAAACTGCTTAAAGTGCTTCGAAAGTAAAAAGATTTCCCTCATTCGTCTGTAAAGGTAACACTCTGCATAAAGCCAAGAAATATTGAACCAAGTGACTTCTTCATTGGCATGGCTGTTTTCTTCCCGCTTCAAAATTTCGTTCCATTCCTTGGTGTCCGAGTAGTCAGATTCTAGGGCTTTGATCGTCTTGTCTGTTNTTTCGAAAGTAAAAAGATCTCCCTCATTCGTCTGTAAAGGTAACACTCTGCATAGAGCCAAGAAATGTTGAACCAAGTGACTTCTTCATTGGGATGGCTGTTTTCTTCCCGCTTCAAAATTTCGTTCCATTCCTTGGTGTCCGAGTAGTCAGAGTCTAGGGCTTTGATCGTCTTGTCTGTTTGCAGCTCATACTTCAGTCGAGCCAACTCCTCAATGAGACTCTTAGTCTCCTCTTCTGCCTCATTGTAGTCTTTCTCATTGAGAGACAATAAAGCTGGAATTTGCTTTCGCTGTCTACACAGCAGATCAATTGCTTTGGTGATGATTACTGGCAGACGGTCAGTCAATGTTTTGTAGGCGAATGTTCTGCGAATTCAGAGTAGTTTTAGAGATGAGTGTGAGTGAATGTAAAGAAGGCTTACCCTTTAAACTTCCCTGAAAGAGCTTCAGGGACAACCTTGGCAGTTGAAGAAGACATTTTTAAGAAATGTGACTTTTAAAACACGAGTTCAGGTGAATGCACACACGTATTTTTGCGGTGACTTTTTCCTCCGATGTTATTCGGCTGACTATCCGTACTTTATGAAGGGAGAACAAATTTAAATGCCTTGCAAAAAAAATTGGAAACCTCCGCTCAACGGTTTCTCACCGAGGCTATTCACTTTCATACGTCAGACAAACAGTTTTGAAACGGAAACAAATCAGTGATACTGATAACCTGATATCATGCAAGCAATCAGCACAAGTCAAACTGCCAATGCTTCAACCAGCCAGCCAGACAGGTAAGTTCACTGCAACTGTAATTAGTTCTGTTGAAAAGGAAACTCTATATTTTCCTTTTTCAGTTCAAACAAAGAAAATGTTGAAAACTCCGATTCTGGGAACAACAAGAGGTGGCAGCTAANACAGACAGGTAAGTTCACTCCAACTGTAATTAGTTTTGTTGAAAAGGAAGCTCTATATTTTCCTTTTTCAGTTCAAACAAAGAAAATGTGGAAAACTCCGATTCTGGGAACAACAAGAGGTGGCAGCTAAGCGACTTTGAAATTGGAAAGCCACTCGGAAGAGGAAAGTTCGGCAATGTTTATTTGGCGCGGGAGAAGAAGAGCAAGTACATCGTTGCACTAAAGGTGCTCTTCAAGTCCCAGCTCATCAACAACAATGTGCACCACCAGCTAAAGCGAGAAATCGAGATTCAATCTCATCTACGACATTCTAATATTCTTCGACTTTTTGGATACTTTTACGACGACACACGCGTGTACTTGATTTTAGAGTATGCACAAAAGGGCGAACTGTATACGCTTCTGCGAAATGCAGGTCGCTTTGATGAGAAGCAAGCAGCAATATACCTCTCGCAGTTGATTGAGGCTCTCAGGTACTGTCATGAGCGAAACGTCATTCACCGAGACATCAAGCCCGAGAACATTCTGGTCGATGGAAAGGGTCAGGTGAAGATTGCCGATTTTGGGTGGTCTGTGCACGCACCATCCTCTCGCCGGGACACCATGTGCGGCACCTTGGACTATCTCGCTCCGGAGATGATCCAACACCGACCTTACGATCACACCGTTGACCTGTGGTGCCTTGGCATTCTCGCTTTTGAGTTTCTCGTCGGAAATCCGCCATTTGAGACGCAGAATGCCACTGAAACCTACAAACGCATTGTTACTCTGAGCTACCGAATTCCCGACTTTGTGAGCGAGCTTGCTCAAAACTTTATAAAACGCGTAAGTGATAAGAGCATACAGTGGATAGAATTCTCAACTAATGCTTATTTTCCCTTCAGCTAATCGTCAAAGAGCCCATGAAGCGAATGTCATTGCTAGAAGCACGACACCACCCTTGGATCAAGATGCACACCACTTCTGGACGTTAATGAGAGAACTTGACAAATTGATGTAAATAAAAACCAAACTAAATATCGAACTATCTGCATTTTTTATTCAATAAATTAATGTGTACTTTTTTGCCGTCATTCTTTATCTTCTGCTCAAGATGACTGGCAACAAAATGGATGAAAAGCTAGAGCTGTACTTTGAGGTCTTTGACAGCATCTCCAAAGGAAAGAAGGCCTTTGGAACGAAAGAACTGGGCGTCGTCATGCAGTCATACGGAATGAAACCCAGCGAGCTTGAGCTACAGGATATGATCTGCGAACTGGACAGCAATGGCACTGGCGAAGTGGAGTTTGAAGAGTTTGTTGACGTGATGATGCGCAAGGTGAAGACGCATGAAGCTGAAGAGGAGCTCCGTGAAGCCTTCAAGATCTTCGATGTCGATGGCAATGGCTTCATTTCCGCTCGCGATCTTCGCCAGGCGATGACCAAACTGGGCGAACGCCTCTCCAACGAGGAAGTGGACGAAATGATTCGCGAGGCCAACTTTGACCACGAAGGGGAGATCAACATTGAAGAGTTCATTATGATGCTCACTTCAAACAACAAATGAAAACTTTTATTCACTAACTAAATGTATGTACAGTTACAAATCTTTAAAGACATTTATACTTTCTGACTTTTCATTTGTGCTAACGTTTCGGTTCATTTGACTAACATTAAAGGATTTTTCAGGTGTGTGATTCATCTGTACTTGTCTTGCCTGCAAAAAAGACAATCACTGGATTAGCCAAACTGGATCTCCTGACAAACTGATATCACTTACCTTCATCTTTCGAATCTTTTCCTCTTCGGAGGGTATGAAAAAAATGCCCACTGAGAGAATGGTAATGCTGAGGATGGTCAACCCTTTAGAGTAGGAGACGAATCTTTCGTAAAATGACATTTTGACTAGTCGTCACCTCAACTCTGTGGTCATCGAGGCGCCTTGTTGACGGAAACGTGATGGTGTTGATGTCGGTGCGTCGTCTTCATCAGCTGGTGCGGTAGAGGCGCGCGCACGTCGGGGAAAATGCTGCTGCTGCTGCTGCTATCCTTTGGGATTATCGAGGTACGGCAATGTGAGAGGGAGAGAGAGAGTGAGCCAGGCAGCATCAGACACAGCCAGCCTTGGAAATGGTTGTGGAAGCGCTCTATAGACGAGACAGCGGTGGTCTGCTCGGCATTACCACAACAGCCAGTCTGTGTGAGTTGATATTACGCATTGCACTTCACTGTGCCCTCACTCTCGCCAACTCTCTCTCCCTTTCTCAGCTTTCTCTGCCGACTTGTCAGCTCATCTCACCCTGGTCACCCTCTCGGGCCCGTGATGGTGCCACTCGCTTTGGGCACCGCACATCCGTCGTGCCGCACATCCTCTTTCAGCAGATCACTGGCGACTGCCTGGAGCAGTGTCGTCGTCGCAGTCGCCGTCGTCGTCGACGTAGAGAACCCCCAGCCAACAGTGCAGTGAGCACCATCAGCACCATCAGCAACAACAGCAACATCAGCAACATCAGCAACAGCAACCTAAGCTCGTCTTGCTCGTGTTGTGTTTGTGCAAGTTTGGCCTTATCACCGTACATCAATTGTTGAATCACGCTTCGGCGCTATCAATCTAATCGCCTCAACAGTTTTGGTAAACTTCACACCTTTAATCGACGAGGACACGAGTGTGACAGGCAACAACAGCGGCAGCAGCAGCTGAAGATGCTGACAACTTTGCTAAAGTAGTCTGCTGCAGCAACGGTGTCCACGAAACGAAACTACCCTTGCAATATCGTCTTTGCGTGTTGAGCCATCCAGCTCAATCCAGCCAGCAGCAATCATGCCTTCTTCCAAGACCTTCACGTGGATCGCCGTTCTCATATTGCTTATCTCCCTCGCGAGATTTACATATGCAGACATTGCTGTGGTACGTGCCTGTTTTGATTTCAATTTTAATAGTACAAAGTCCACCATCGTCTTCTTTTCTCTCTGTGCAGCTTAATCCTGAAAATAAAAGCGTTGAACTGTTCATCGATTACAAGATCGTATACACACCTGCAATTCCTGAGAATGGAATGATTGTAAGATGCAGTTAGATTGTGCAACAAGAGAGCACACTATAACAGTTTTAATTTCAGGGCTTTCTGATCAGAGCACATCCATCTGACGCGTGCTCCAAACTCGATCCGCCGCCGCCAAGCAATCACACTTTTCAAAACTGGTTTGTCCTGGCGGATCGAACCTACAACACACACTGCACTAATCGTGAAAAGGTTGTTGAAACTCGGCAAAGCGGCGTGCTCACTGACGATCTTCTTCTGTACGATTTAGATTAAAAATGCAGCTGAGGCAGGATACAAAGTCATCATCTTGTACAGTCCCTACGAAAACCCCTTTCAGCCTTCAATGACCTACTACTCGCTTGAACGTAAGATTAGTATGAGAAGGTGCTAATGATGACCATGTTTCACTTAACTTCTATGCCCTCTTTCGCCAGACTCAAACACGAGTATTCCCGCCATTTTGGTGTCTCACGAAGATGGGAACGCACTGGCGAAAAAGTATCTCTACCAGACGGGGTTTAAAATCTACGTCACCTCGGATATTCCGCCTAATCTAAGCTACTACCTCTTGCCGTTCGCCATTGTCATTGGAGTTTGTCTGCTGCTGACGATCTCTTTTATGATATTTCAACTCATTCGCTGTGTTCAAGAGAGGAGAAAAGCGCAGCGCCATCGCCTGTCCAAGAAGTACCTAAAGAAACTGCCTTTGCAAAAGTTTGAAAAAGGTTCCACCTGTTCGTATTTGTGCTTATGGTGACATTAACTGGAGAATGTGTGTTTTTAATTTGCAGGCATCTATTACGAAACCTGTGCAATTTGTCTGGACGACTACGTTGACGGGGAGAAAATTCGCATTTTACCATGTAATCACGGTACGGTGATGGATGCCTTGTGTTTTGTTTATTTTTTGTTTCTGATGCACCCTGCTTTACCTGCTCTACCCATCTAGGCTATCACATGAAATGCATCGACCCCTGGTTGACCAAGAATCGTCGTGTGTGCCCGGTGTGCAAGGCAAAGGTTACCCTGCCCGGAATGCCCGAGTCTGACGACTCCGACTCGGACAATGATCGACGCGCTCGAAGTACTCAGAACGAAGACGCCAATGAAAGGACGCAGCTCTTGCCTTCTTCTTCATCTTCCTCCTCTCGAAACCATCGATCTCGCCGCTACAACCTCAACAGACTAATAGTGGAGGTCAGGGGGGATGAACCATCACCTTCAGCAGCAGCAGCAGCAGCAGCAGCAACATCCTCTACTTGAAATACTATAGCTCGCGGTCAGCCAAACTACAACACCGCCTCAACCTCTCGCTACCAGCCACTGGACGACACTCTCTCTCAACCTGGCCCAAGCACCTCCTCTGCCCCCGTCATATCTGAGCTCTCTTCGCAGAGGGGCGGCAGCAGCAGCGGCATCAGCGGAGGCTCTGGCTCTCGAAGCAAGAAAAAGCGAAGTCACAGTCGAAACGTACAGGTGGTGGCAGCGGAAATCGCCCCCCTCATTGCGCCCCCTCAGCTGTCGATTAACTGTGACTCCGATGTAGAGCAACTGCCATCATCACGCAGTGCCACGCTGGAGAGCAATGACTCGGCACAGGGCGGCTCCTCATCGCAAAAGCGGCCCTCGAAACGGCCATCCGTCGACCACATCGTTTGAGCGCTGGGAGCTAAAACTGGCACTGTACTGCCCGACACTGCTCTACATTCTTCATCACGCGCAATAGAACATTGACCTAATAAAAAGACACTTTTATTTTGTACATTCTACTGTAATAGCAAGCACACCGACACCTCTCCACCGCACACCTCATCAGTAAGAAGACACACCCCCACACAACATTACTCAATTCTTCCTGGTTCAGTTTACAGTCTTTGCCGCCAGTGTTCGTTCTGCTTTTCACACCCATATACACACACAGACGTATTTGTGATACACTACCACTAGTTCACTTCTGTACATAATAATGAATTACGTGCGTGTTATAAAGAAAATGACATTTTTAGTAAATGAAAAATTGAAATTGTACAAACATTAATTGGCCTTTGCTTTCGGAAAGATGAATCCCTTCTTTTGAAGATCAGCCTTGGCTTGCTTTATTTGACTTTGAAGTTCTTTATTCGCCTCAGGGCAGTCGTTAAAGGTGAACACCCGGTAGAGGACTATACTCGCAGAGACGGCACCAAAGATCACAAGTCCGTAAATAGGGAGTAGCTGGGTGTGCAGGAGAGCAATAGGATTTTTCCATTGGGACACCTGATAGAGAAGCGCCGCCCAGAAGGCCAAGACCAAGATGCCAAAGGAGAGGAATTCTTGAAAACGAGTCATCGTAGTTGGCGATGTGATCACAAGTTTGATAGACAACAACTGAATCAATAAAATTGCATCATTTGCTAGAAATTGAAAAAAATAATAGAAACTCTGAACGGTTGATGTTAGAATAGTCAGTGAAGTGAAGACACGCCTCCATCAAGGTTAGAAACACCGGGAAAGGTAGAGGGGTTTTTACTTTCTCGTGCTTTGGCAGTGCNATAATAGAAACTCTGAACGGTTGATGTTAGAATAGTCAGTAAAGTGAAGACACGCCTCCATCGAGGTTAGAAACACCGGGAAAGGTAGAGGGGTTTTTACTTTCTCGTGCTTTGGCAGTGCATTGTAAGGACTGCCTTCACCGCTGCACCGCCACCAAGTGCATCTCCCCTGTTTGAGGCAAAGCGACGTCAGCAGTTGGCAAAAGTGCCACACTGCTTACACTCTCATCATCTCATCTTTCTCCATTCACTCTTTCGACCGGTGCTGAATTTTGACAATTCACCCGATCCACCCGCTTCCAAGAGGCGCCGGTTTGTCCAAAAGTCATCACACCATGAAACCTCTGCTTGAAGGCCGCCGTCTGGCCGGCCTGGTACTCTTGCTTGGGTGCGCCTTGCCTCTCTCAGTCCACTGTTTACGTTTTCACCTCCAACCAAACACCAAGCGTTGCCTGAAGGAAGAGATGCGCAAAGATGTCCTCGTCACCGGCGAATACACCCTCAGCGATTCTCCTGGTGTCCGCACTGATCTTCTGGTATGCCTTGCTTACTTCCTTCAGGTGCCCATTTATTGACTCACTTCTGCTGTACTAGATAACCGACACCAAAGGCCATACAGCGCTGAACCGAGAAAACATTGACAAGGGCAAGTTTGCCGTCAACTCGGATGAAGATGATATTTTCGATTTTTGCTTCGTATCCTACTTACAAACCGGCCACAACATGCCTCAAGCCCGAGAGGTCTTCCTTGAAATGAAGCACGGCGTCGAAACGAAAAACTACGAACAGGTAATGAACAATGTTAGGTCCTAATGCTACATGATCCTAATGCACATATCTTATAATCTT